CGCTCACATGATAGGGTTCCAGCTCTGGCTTTAGAGTAGAAAAGGGACAGTCGTCCACGGCTGTCACATGGTAAGACTATGGGTGACCTAACTAAGCTAAAATCTACTCTCATCCCATTCTAAACTTTTTCTATCTACCCTGTAAAAGTAAAGATGTCTATACTTACCTATTCTGAAACTGCTACTGCTCCGCTCACATGATTGGGTCCCAGCTTTGGCTTCAGTGTAGAGAAGGGACAGTTATCAACGGCCGTCCCATGGTAAGTGTATGGGTGACCTAACTAAGGTAAAATCTACTCCTATCCCCATTATAAACTTTTTCTGTCTACCCTGTAAAAGAAAAGATGTCTATATTTACCTATTCTGAAGCTGTTCCACTCACATGATTGGGTCCCAGCTCTGGCTTCAGTGTAGAGAAGGGACAGCCATCAATGGCTCTCCCATGGTAGGCCTATGAGTAACATCATCTCCCAGGCTCTGAAACTGCTGCCTTTGCCTCTCCTCTACACTAAAGCCACCACTGGAGAGATCATGTGACTGTACCAAATTGACTTTAGAATATGTAAGTATAGGCATCATTCCTTTTACAGGGGAGATAGAAAAGGCTTAGAATGGGGGTGGGAGTAGATTTTCGCTTAGTTAGGTTTTGACTGGAATTGAACTTTAAAGGCTTTTTGGCTTGCTCAGGAGTTTGTCCCAACTCCAGACCTTTAACTTGTTCAGTGGGAATTGAACATCATATAGAGTAGCGCTTTTTCTACTGCTACTATATCTATAAAAATTGCTTCTTCCTCTGTCAATGGTTGTTAAGGAAGCAGCATCAAGGAGGCACCAGAAGTCAAAGGAAGTGAATTTCCTCTCTTAGGCGGAACTTCATTTTAGGCCTGTCAGCCGGCGATCTTTGGGCCTTCACAGTGGATGCTTTGGTGACATGTCATCATTCAAGCCTGTGGTCTAAAGCATAGGGTTCCTATCTTCCCTATTAAGGCGCACTCTATCACATCTGTTAATGCAACATGGACGTTTCAGCATCAGACATCTATTTCTCAGATTTACAAAGCTGGTCTTCTGTTCACATGTTTGTAAAATTCTACCCTCCAGTGATGCCAGTTTTGGGCGTAGGATGGTGCAAGTTGCTCCCTGAGTCTGTTGAGCCTTCTTGACTCATTTGTTATATAGGCCTGTTGGCACTTGTTTGCTATGTTGCCCTCCCCTCAATCGAACTGCTCTTCAACATACAGTGCTTTAGGCTAAGATCCAGTTACCCGCATGTATGGCTTGGAAAATAGGATTTTTGTCTTACCCATAAAATCCATTTCCTATAGCACAGGTCCAGGGCAATGCTCAGCTACCCTCCCTTTGTCTGATTTAGGAGATCCTCCATGATGTTTTTTGGAAAAAAAAGAGTTATTTTCATTTAGCAGCAAATTATTTATTAGGTGTGTTATTTAAAGGAACTTGCAATTTTAATCTTTCAATTCATGTATTATTAAAAAATAGCTGCTTCCCTCTAAATGGAATAAAAAAAGGCAAAAACATGGTTTGCATTGGTACATGTCCTCCAGGGTAGTATCCAGATTTTCATGCCCTTTGTTTGACAATCCCCTACATATTAGTCTTTGAGAAGCTGAAAACTGATTTCAAAGATTCAACTCTCGTAGACTGTAGTGGGGCTCAGATTAACTTTTGAATCTCAGAGCAGTTTTACTACCATCTCACAAACCAAACTTGGGTGCATTTTATTAATAAGTACTTGAGTCACGAAAAAAGTGAATGGCAATCTCTCCAAAATAGAAGATATCCTCCCTTAACTGTCACCATAACAAGTGTCCTCATTGGAAGGCTCCCCCTGTTTTCTTGTTTAAATGACAACTCAAAATTTTAGATTTTCCCTTACTTTTAGTCCCAAGGACAAAGGTCACCAGGATGAGAAGACAGGGTGACTCTCCCCAATAGACACGTGCAGAAGGAAATACATTTGTTTTGTTATTTATATCATTTCATTTGCTTAAATTTGTGTAATTCGTTTTCGGAATTAATTTTGTTTTATTTATTCATTTTCGAATTACATTCAAATTTTCCAAATTTGGTAAAATTGAATTCAATTTGACCAAATAGAAAAGTATTGAATCGGCATTTGAATCTGAATTTATTCTATTTGAAATTCTAATTTCGTAAGACAGCTATATTCTTTCTTTTTCATTATATTCTATTGGTTTTTCCTATTCTATTCTTTTATTTTTTTATTCCATTCTATCCTATTTTCTATTCTAATCAATTCTATTCAAATTCAAATTTATTCTATTCAAAACTAGAATTTCAGAAGATGGTTATATTGTTTCTATTTTATTCTAATCTATTCTATTGTTTTTTTTTCTATTCTATTTGATTATTTTGTATTCTATTCCATTATTTTATTGTATGTTCTATTCTGTTCTATTGTATTCCTTTATTTACTATTCTATTCTGTTTTACTCTATTACTTTATTTTCTATTTTATTTTACTCTGTTCTTGTATTCTAATTCAATTTCATTTTTTAATTCAAATTCAATTCGAATTTCAGGTGAAATTTTGTTTCTTTATTTCAGATTCATTTAAATTTGTTACTATTGTCTCCTAGATTGTAAGCACGAAAGAGCAGGGCCCTCAATCCCCTCATGTTTTGCATTGTATTGGTATTGTTCTGTCACATGTTCTGTCCCCCTTTGTAATGTACAGCGCTGAGCGAACTATTGGCGCTTTATAAATACTGTATAATAATAATAATACTATTGTAATTAGGAAATTTGGATACATCCAAATCTCTGAATAACAGAAATTCATCCAAATTTCAATTCAGAACTAAACAAACCTCACAAAAAAAAGGAAAGAAAGAGAACTTAGCTTAATTTAGCTTACAATCTAGGAGACAATAGTAACAAATTTAAATGAATCTGAAATAAAGAAACAAAATTTCACCTGAAATTCAAATTGAATTTGAATAAAAAAATGAAATTGAATTAGAATACAAGAACAGAATAAAAGAAAATAAAGTAATAGAGTAAAACAGAATAGAATAGCAAATAAAGGAATACATTTTTAATAAAGGGAAGATCCTGTGGAATCATGCCAAGTCACTAACTTGATGTATTCTCTTTATTACAACAAATTATCACAATATATTTTGTTTTTATTTAATATTTGCCTAGGTACAGTCTCTATTCCAGTTTATACCTCTAAAAGCTAAGGTATTTTAGTAAGCAATGCGGAAGTCAAGGCAAAAAAAATGAATAGAAGTCTGAGAAAGGGTTGGTAGAGATGAAGAAAAAATAGAAAAGGCAACACAAAGCCAAAAGATGTTCAACTCGAATCAAATCTTGTCTCAATGTGGAAGTCTCCATGAATTGGAGACTAAGCAATTTTGATTCCAGCCGCCTGTATTTGAAATGACCAGAGCAGTTATCACACTTGCACAGTCCCAGAATCTATAGTCTAGATGCTGCCAAAGTTAAGAATACTTGGCAGCTTTTGCATGTTTACCAACCACCATGATAGATAGCTTATATGCCTGCAGGTCTATCGTTATTGCTGAATACTGAAATGAGCTGTATTATCGGTTTTATTCTTACATACAGATACTGCTCATCTCAGTCATTCATTTTCCTGCTTAAATTTTGAGTAATCTTTCTGAAAAAAAAAAATATTCATTCCATTAGCTCTTTTAAAATGCATACATTTTCACATGTTAATGTAAGTATAAAAATTATAAAACAAAAAACAATTCTTTTGATGCCCGCCAAAGGTTAAGATTGAAGTGTTACTAAACCCACAACAGTAAAATCAGTCTGTATATACAATAAAGCATGCTTGTTATACTCACTTTGGAAGCTAAGGGGTTAATCGTGTGCATTGTGTAAAAAGGCTGTTTGATCCTGACTTCTCTGATCCTCCCCTTCTTCCAGTGTCCCCCTCTTATCTCCTGATATATCATGTGGAGTCACTGTGCACAGGCTCCATGTTTGTGTATTGCTAGAGAGGTTTGTTTTTTTGTTTTTTTTTTTTCAGGGAAGAGTGTCTGTATATGCAATAAAGCATGCTTCTTATGCTCGGTGTGGAACCTAAGGGGTTAATCCTCTGCATTGTGTAAAAAGGATGTTTAATCCTGACCATCTTCCAGTGTCCCCCTCTTATCTCCTGATATATCAATCATGTGGAGTCACTGTGCACATGCTCCATGTTTGTGTATTGCTAGAGAGGTTTGTTTTTTTGTTTTTTGGGGGGGGAGAGTGTAAGTGATGAGCACAGGGCAAATCAGCGCTATCTAGACAGAGGTCAGGGGTTCTGCATCCTCGTAGAGCAAAATGAAAACTCCTATGAGCATTACCCAGTGCTCGGCTGGAGACTGATAGAAGATAGATAGATGATAAAAGGTATTTAGCAGTTTATATTTACTAAAATAATTGCATTTCCATGTTCTGTGTACTGTGGGAGACCAGATATAGTGAATGCAGGGTCCGGGGAGACCAGATATAGTGAATGCAGGGTCCGGGGAGACCAGATATAGGGAATGCAGGGTCCAGGGAGACCAGATATAGTGAATGCAGGGTCCGGGGAGACCAGATATAGTGAATGCAGGGTCCGGGGAGACCAGATATAGTGAATGCAGGGTCCGGGGAGAGCAGATATAGTGAATGCAGGGTCCGGGGAGAGCAGATATAGTGAATGCAGGGTCCGGGGAGACTGGATATAGTGAATGCAGGGTCCGGGGAGACCGGATATAGTGAATGCGGGGTCCAGGGAGACTGAATATAGTGAATGCAGGGTCCGGGGAGACCAGATATACTGAATGCAGGGTCTGGGGGAGCGGATATAGTGAATGCAGGGTCCGGAGAGACAATATGTAGTGAATGCAGGGTCCGGGGAGACAAGATATAGTGAATGCAGGGTCTGGGGAGACCAGATATAGTGAATGCAGGGTCTTGGGAGACCAGATATAGTGAATGCAGGGTCCAGGGGAGACCAGATATAGTGAATGCAGGGTCCTAGGAGACCAGATATAGTGAATGCAGGGTCCGGGGAGACCAGATATAGTGAATGCAGGGTCCTAGGAGACCAGATATAGTGAATGCAGGGTCCCAGGAGACCAGATATAGTGAATGCAGGGTCTGGGGAGACCAGATATAGTGAATGCAGGGTCCGGGGAGACCAGATATAGTGAATTCAGGGTCTGGGAGACCAGATATAGTGAATGCAGGGTCCAAGGAGACCAGATATAGTGACTGCAGGGTCCGGGGAGACCAGTATAGTGAATACAGGGTCTGGGGAGACCAGATATAGTGAATGCAGGGTCCAAGGAGACCAGATATAGTGACTGCAGGGTCCGGGGAGACCAGATATAGTGAATACAGGGTCTGGGGAGACCAGATATAGTGAATGCAGGGTCTGGGGAGACCAGATATAGTGAATACAGGGTCTGGGGAGACCAGATATAGTGAATGCAGGGAGACCAGATATAGTGAATGCAGGGAGACCAGATATAGTGAATGCAGGGTCCGGGTTTTAGTAACACTTTAACTAAGAACTGTGTTAGGTTTTAGGGTAGGCTTAGTAAACGTTATTGATCATAGGAAAAAAACAATAACTCAACCGAAAAAAAAAACAGTTTCTTGTGGCCAGGAACAGATGCTCTAGCTAAAGTGCCTCCACACGCCAATAGCAGAACTGTAGTAAGATCAAGCCAGCTACTCGGTCCCATTTATAAAATGTAAGTGTTTATTGGATACATAATAAAACACAACAGTAACTAGCTAACACATTTCAGCTAAAACATCCTTCCTCATTGCTAGAAAGGCTAGGATTGAGGAAAGCTGTTGTAGCTGAAACATGTTAGCTTGTTACTGTAGTGTTCTATTATGTAGCCAATAAAGACTTACATTTTATGGATAGTACCAAGTAGCTAGTTTGAACCCAAAAAATTTTAATATATTTTAGTTGACCAATCATTGGATGTGTTGGCTGCATTAGATTTCTTTTACATAATGTATTAAAATCTGAGCATTGTAAGCACCCCTATCAGTAGTAAATGGCTTGTCTCAACCCCTTAACAGCTTGGTCTGTTAAAGCCTAACTCCAGGTTTAATGTCCCTTTTACTAGATTGTTGGAGCCAAGCTGGCCCAAACTATTTAGTGCATTGACCAGTGCACTTGATGGGTATGCTGTATTAACTGTATTCAGCCTCAACTACATACAGTACTGTATACACCATTGTGTGCTGGCGGTGGGAAGAGAACCTCCCATCCTATTTCCAGAACCAAATAGAGTCAAGGTGAGTGCTGCTCAGTCATTTACCAGAAACTTTGTATTTTATGAATGAATGCAAAACACCCTCTGACTGGCGTGGTGGAGATCGTAACATTATCAGCCCGCCTTTCCACCTTAGCCAATCAGAAGAAGCTTTGCAGTCATTCATATAATACAAAGCTTCTAATTGTTGGTTGAGAAGCCCCTCTATTTTGCTCCATAAGTGGGACAGGAAGTCTCCAGCCCACTACCAGAACAGAGCTGTAGACTGTGTGTAGCAGAGGCGGTAAGCCAAGCTGGCCTAAAACAAACTATTTAAAGGCACAGTAAAAGTACAGTTAGGTTTTAAAGGAAGCTGAAAAACAATAAAAAAAATACTGGCTGGATCACCAGGTAATAAACCATGGGAGGACTCAGAAAAACAAAGTTTGCAGTGTTATTAACCTCCCTAGCGGTATTCCCGAGTGTAGCTCGGGTAAAATGTCAGTACCAAAAGCGGTAACCCCGAGCTACACTTGGGCTTACCATGCAGTGCTGCATAGGGAGTCCCTGCAGAGCTTACCTTGTCCTGCGCTCCCGCGATGTGTCCCCTGCAGCATCCCCGGCCATCTCCTCCGGCCGATTCTGTTCCGGTCCCTGTGACGTCGGGATGTACGGGCGCCGCCGCCGGCGGTGGAAAATATGAAAATTTAAAAAAATTTCATTTTTTTCCAAACAAATTTTACATAGTAAAACATTGCTGTTTCAACCCATTTCACATACATTTTGTCCCGAGTGCTTTGTCCTGCGCCCTGCCTGCATTTTGTCTGTTCTTTCTGCCTGGAAACTGAGAAACGTCCATGGCGTCCAAAAAGCGTCCCTTTAGGTCAAAAGCGGTTTTAGACCGGCTAGAGAACAGCGATAGTAAATTAGAACCACTTGCAGAATTGAGTGATAATGATTCGTGGGGGAAATTCGTCATCAGACACTGAAAACGATTTTGCGACTTTGCTCAGCAATGTGCGAACTTGGCGCTCTATTTCAAATTTCAGTGTTTTTGGTTTGATTATATTATTGAATTAAATTTATTATTATTATATTATTATTTTTTATGATTATTTAATAAATTATAATTTATGATTTCGTGTTTCAAATTTTATCATATCCGGAATGTTTACTAGACTCTTGTTTGGACAGATTTCAGTGAGTTATTCCTAAAAATTACAGGCTTACAATAAAAAAACTACATATTTCCATGCAAAATAATGGTACCGCTTTCAGCACCAAAAATCTGAAATAATCATACCGCCAGGGAGGTTAATAGAGTCAGACTGCATCATATGTAATTTTTTATTTTGGCCATAGATAATTAGAGATGTGCACAATGAAAAAAATTGTTTTGTTTCATTTTGGAAGTAAATCATTTCATTTAATCATATTTGTTATGTCACAATTATTCATTTTGTGGGGGGATTTGTTACATATATTTGGATTTGTTTCATATATTCATTGTTCCGAATCGATTTGTATTTTCAGAAGATTGGCTATATTCATTTTAACGTGTTAATTCGTTATTTTGAGAGTGCATAAGTAATCTGAGTCCTCCCTGCTAGTCCAGCCCACAAAGTGAAAAAAAAAAACAAGCTGATTGGACGATATCGACAAGAGTAACAAATGGAATGAAATTATATTTGGATTCATTCGTTATGTTATGATTCTGAAATACTGATGGATCCACCTCTATTCAACCCAAACACAATAAGGAGGAATCATTTTATTTCACTTTTATACCTTACTGTGTTTATTGTCATATGTACATATATATATACGCCCATTCCTAACCCCAGAAACCACTAAGCAGCTCATCCACTCCCTCATCATATCACAACTCGATTACTGCAACTCCCTCATTGGCCTGCCTCACAACAGCCAATCCCCACTTCAGTCGATCCTGAACTCAGACTCATCCACCTTACCTTACCTTACCTACCTGCTCCGTTTCTGCCAATCCCTCCTCTGGCTTCCGATTGCCCAACGGATCAAATTCAAACTGCTAACACTGACGTACAAAGCTGTCAATAATTCTGCCCCAAACTACATCACCGACCTAATATCCAAGTACCACCCAAAACGCACTCTCCTCTCTTCGCAAGACCTCCTTCTCTCTAGTTCCCTGATCTCCTTCTCTTATGCCCGCCTCCAGGACTTCTCCAGGGCATCACCCATCCTCTGGAACTCCCTACCCCAATCCATTAGACTATCACCCACTCTCCTCTCCTTTAGGCGCACCCTAAAAACCCATCTCTTCAGGGAAGCCTACCCCACCCTCTGCTAACTGCCGATCTCCTCCACTCTTCCTACCACTCCATCCCCCACAGCTTTTCCTCCCGTACCACTATCCCCTCCCTCCTAGATTGTAAGCTCCAAGGAGCAGGGCCCTCAATCCCCTCATGTATCACAGTGTATTGTTATTGTACTGTCTCATGTATTGTCCCCCATTGTAATGTACAGCACTGAGCGAACTGTTGGCGCTATATAAATACTGTATAATAATAATGTTTATATTTCATATGTAGCGCATTTTTTTATAATAATGAAACATTAACATAAAGCCCAAACTATTGAATCATGTCATCTGAATGAAACAAATGAATATAAATTAATTCCTTGTTTCATTATCATTTATTTTGGATTTAATGAAATTCATTACTATTGTGATTCAGAGATTCGGATACATCTGAATCTCCGAATAACAAAAATTTGTTAGAATTTCAATTCATAACAAAACAAAGTCTAGATACAATTTAAAGTTTAGTTTTTACAGTTATGTTGGGTGCAGGGGTGGACTGACCATTTGGAAACTCGGGCACTGCCCGAGGGCCCGGGGTCAATAGGGGGCCCCATGAGATGCCCCTGGTACCTTTTTCATAGGCTTTTTTGAGTTTGGGCAAGGACACAGGGGCCCCATGATGCCCTATTGCCCGGGGGCCCCATGAGTTGTCAGTCTGCCCCTGGTTGGGTGTTAGGTTTAATTCATTGGAAGAGTTAGATAAAGGTTTAGAGATAGGTTTCAGTTAATTGCATGACTGGTTTTATATTCATTCACATTTGTTTTCTACATCAAAAGTCCTTCTTTGAGACCAAAAACCAAGGGATTTGTAGACCACATGTCCTAGAAGTCTTTCAGAATGAGGATATAAAAGTAATTATGATTTACACGTTTGCCTCACTACCCTTCCACGCTTTCTCTGCCCCTCTGGATTAGATGGAATGGCATTGTCTCTTAACAAGTATGTGTTGCTGAGTATTTTCAGGTGGTACATAGGGATGGCCTTTTCAGTCAGCATTTAAACTTCACATCTGCGTATCAAATGACCCACCTGTTATCCACCCACCTTGGGTTACCAAAAGAATATTTTTAATAATCACACAGTGGCATGTGGTTTTACATGTATAACTCTAGAGTAATAATTCTCTATGAAATCTGTTTGTACTCCCAGTAGGATCCTTCCAGCTTTCCAGAACAACAAAAGATTATTACTGGGACACTGGTAGGAAATATCTGCTCTGGGATATTTATTAGTGTCTTATCCCAGGGTAAGCCTCAAAGATTTCTAAAACTCTTACAGGAAATTAATAGGATTTCCGTCTTCTAGTTATTTATATTTATGTCACTTATGTGAGTAGAAAGATCAGCAAAGAATGGTTATATTAATTGAATATTTCATTTTGGTGAAATAAATGAAAAAACTAATGTAACTGGATCACTGGCTTGTAATTCCTCGCTTTTCTGAAATCACTGATTCTCATTTTTCTCTAATAAACACCCATACCTTCTTTTTTTTTTTTGCTTGCTTTTTATTAAACTGACCTATTAAACCAATGCAACACTTTAAGGGAATTGAGAATAAAAATAACAGTATTAATAGTATTATTATATCTCATGGTGTTGCCTAACATGGAGGCATCAGATTTCACGTCATGCTTGGGATTTGATGGTCTGGGGGGTTCACGGTGGAATTTGGGCTGTTTGCATTTTTTTTGTTGCTTGTTTGTTTTATTGTATTCAGTGAAGTTTACTTTTCCATTAAATAAAGTTTGTTGAATGGTAAAAAAAATATTAATAGTATTATTAACAATAATATTAACAATAATCATCAGTTAGATTATC